CACTTTCCCTACTAAGCCAGTAAGCTTGCTTGTATGCAGTTTGGCTCAGGTTGTTTCAAATCCTCAACTCACATCCTAATTCAAGCATTGTAACAAAATAAACAAATTAAAATTGACCCATTGCCATGGAATATTTCCTTTTTAGCAGTCTTTCTTTTCCAAAAGAAAAATGGTTTGTTGGAAAGTTTTTCAGCTACCTCCTGAGAGCTGAACATCACTCTCCAGAGAGCTGGAACGACTGACGCAAGCTGACAGCTGGCCCTGCTAACTTGAGTGAATTCAGCATTCCTTGAAATTAGGAGCAGATATCACTAGCTCCGTCTGGATTTAGTCTGGGGCTGTGGTTAGATGTTCACTAGAGAAACAGCAGTGTCAGTATCAGCTATTCCTGCCCTGGGGCTGCTTGTTGCAGCCCTGCAGCTCAGCTGGTGGATAAGTTCATGTGACTGTTTACCATCTGCTTCAGTGCAAAGGCAGCCGGCTTAGTTTAAAGAGCGCTTATTGTCAGCTACGGCAAATGCTCCCCGGCCTCCTCCACAGGGCTGTGCCAAAACTACCTCTAACCAGGCTTGTAACCTGCCTGCAGTTATGTTTCTGACCTTCCCTTGAGACATGGCCGAATACATTCCAAAGCTTTTAAAGTGGTGCAAACAAGGATAAAAATTAAGCTCTCGTGTACGAACCTAGCCAAAAGCTGAATGCAGTTCTGGGCTACCTGACTTGAGGTAGCATTCTAGCACGCCATTCTAAAACAACGTAGGGCCTGCAAAATTTTTAGACGTGCAAAATGCTCTAAGCGAGAAATCCAAGGAGCTGCTATTACAACATCAACTGCCAGCTCACGGTAGATGGGGAGATCTTGCTCCCAACAGATACTGCTTAATTAACCACTGTATTATCATATTGTAAAGAAATTCATTCACGCTCATTGACTGAGTTCCGTCAAATACACACCATAAAAAAACTGAAAAGCATTTGAAGTCAGAACTCACATGGTATTAGCACATGTCTAATTTTGCAAAAGTGACTGTTCCACATCTAACTATATAAATACAAAAATCAATACCAAAATTGGCATGGACTAGAAAAGAGCAGCTGCTCAATCCTGCATACTGTAATGTGACTATTTACGAAGCATTCAAAAGGCATATATCTAATCCAGGGTCACCTGGCTTAAACAGCTGTATTAGATCTGAAAACCTGTCAGTCAGTGGAACTACCACAGTAGTAGAAAAGGACATCAGCTTCATTATGCTTGCGAACTGTGCATAATGAGGATTCTTTTGAGCATCCTTTTGTCTTACAGAATTACTGGTACGTCTTTCCTTCATTTTGTGATGCTTCTGTACTGTATGTATGCATCAGTATTTCTGCCAGAGCCTGAAATAGTCTTCCCTACCGTAACACAGGTCACAGGTTGGTTGTATATAAAACAGCCAAATGTGTCATGAGTTTCTCCCTCCAAGAGCCTCAGCAACACAGCTGGGTATGGAATTGGTTTTCATGTCCTCTAACCTTTTTTTATCATGTCAGGATAGTTTTGCTCCAAACTTACGATAGGAGTTAAAATCTTGATGAAAAAAAAAGATCCAAATGTTTCATTCAGACATCTCTGCTATCTTATCTTTTTTAATTCATAGAGCCTGAAATTACAGTGAAATGCAAATCAGCATAGAACTACCTTTTGAAAAATGTCAGAATGTAACCTTTTGATCATCCGCCATTTTTTCCCCATTTTCTCCTGGGAAAACTTGTCAAATTCACTTACCTCACAAATATTCACGCTTTTGATAAATTTGCTTGCTGTGAGGAATAGATTTCATCTACAATCTCTAATCAGTTCTACTCAGCATAAAAAACAGGAGTGAAGAGTACAGCCTGAAAACTAACCCAGGTGAGAACCAACTAACTTCAGTGCTAGAAAAATGTTTTGACTTCATGCTTTTCATATATAACAGTAAAGTAAGAAAGTATAAATTCCTGAGCTCGTTGTAGCTTTGTGGTTGCTTAAGAACGTATTGCACATGGTAATTTACCTTTGTTGGATTTAGGTTGTTCAGACGAGCCACTTCCAAGCTTTCTCTTTTTCCTTGGAACAGCCGAATTTTTCCTGTCAAAGGTAATAGGACTGTATTGAGGGAGGCTGTTGAATTTCTTTTCAAATTCTTCTTCCAACTTTGCTAAGCTAAAGGGGAAACAAAACCAATCAAATTAAATGTAACTCCATTTCTAGAAAAAAAAAATATTGGTTTAGGAGCATGTGTGCGTATATACATACCTATCTACATAGACAGATGGGGAAAGAGATAAGCTCACACACACTGTCAACATCAAACTAGTATATATTGAAACAACTTTGAGATGAGAATTTACATGTCAGCTATCTGCATTTGTAATGCAGTACAAATTGACTACGTTAGTTGCATATACTAAAATTAGGGGGAAAAAAATAACTGTCACACTACTGACATTTAGCTCTGTTTGCTGCACAGATTCGTACAGGAGATTTGTCTGTTCTGTGAGGGGAATGAAAAAAGTCAGTAAAACCAATAAATAAACAAACCAATAAAATAAAAGTCCTTACACCAGAATGAAAACACCGACAATTCAAATCAGAAGAAAAATGTCAAACTATTCAATCTTCTGGGGATATTCTAAAACCTGATGCTTTAGGGTGGGAATTAGCTCTGCATTTGTTCTGAGGGATTATATTTCCTCCCCTCAATACTGTTTGTTGCAAGATGAAAAATTCAACTAGCTCATGCTTTCATGAAACCCTCATAATTCAGCCCAACCTGAATGACTGTAATTAGCTTTATCTACAATTCAAGAAATCCACAGACATGGTATTGCTATTCCTAATAGCCAGATGAAAACAAACCACTCAAGCAGGATGGTGCAGCATGGCATTTCTGGCTGTAATGACTACGCTGTCTTGTATAAGCACTCTGTTCCAGCAAATTTTTGCAGTCAGGCAGAAGCACAGGAAGGAACTGTATTTTAATAAAAGGCAGTGGGCACAGCTAGGCAGATTACAAATAGTACTGTCAATGACAAGGGAAGAATGATATTTTCTACTCGTCTTTAATTGTTTGCTATGGAAAACCTGAACTTGACAAAAGTTGGCATGACTGTTGGATGCATGGCCCTTATGCACTGTACTCTTGGAAGTACCACAAGGATGCATGGCGCTTATGCACTGTACTCTTGGAAGTACCACAAGAAACACGATGTTTCTCTCAGCTCCGTGAAGCGGCACTTCAAACAAATTGCATTCTGAAAGCTTTCGTACACAGAATGATACTTCATTTTATCTCTGCAATCATTACTTCTTTTAGTAAGCAATCTTCCAGCTTACAATACAGCCTTGGGTCTTGGCAGACTGCGTGCATGGTGGGGTTTGTTCGTTTGTGGGTTCCTCTGTGTGTGTGTGTGTGCATGTTTTGCTTTGTTTTTATATCACAAAGATACCTGACATTAGTGGTGCTTGGTACTGCCATGTGGATGTTCCCTGACAACCACAAAACAAGCCAATTTTCTGCTCTGACAGCTGTCATACAATTCCACCCTCTACCCCAGCTCCTCTCCCAGTGCCTGTTGCCACCTGCCTTGTCTCCTGCCCCAACGGCATGTGAGAAGCTGCAGCTCTAATTAGGAAGGACCTACCCCGAAAGCAGATGAGCTGCCATCCTGGCTGCTAATTCATAGCTTGTGCAACACGAAGGCTGCTATCATTATGTCAGTGATTAATTATTAAAAAAAACCCCAAAAAAACAAAAACCCACCCACAAAAAATCATTCACATTGTCATGACTTTTCAGTGCCAGCCTGGTTAGATGCGTGCCGCTGAGCCGAGGTCTTCATGCTGTACAGCCTAGTCCTGCCAGGAGATACACACAGGCAGAGCGCGCTGCTCAGCAAAGGAGCGGGCGGCGCACGGACAAAGCACCCTCGATAGGGACCATCGGGGAAGTGTGGGCAACTACCGATGGAGAAGAAAGTAAGAGGACACAGGGAGAAAGACGTAATTGCAAAGGGGCGAGGACCTTCCCCCCCAACCACACACAGGAAATGAGGCTGAAAGGTGATGCTGAAGGGAGCAGAAAGAGTTAGGAGGAGCAGGTAGAGGTAAAACCAGCTCCTCAAGTAGACACAGGATCAGGCAGTGCAATGAATAGGGATAATGGGTACCTTCTCCAGCATTTACGCTCCGCAAATTACCCATTCTGCCACCTTTACAGAGTTCACTAAATAATATTCATCAATGACACAACTGAATCAAGAAGCAAGACTGGCAAATATGTGTGTCGCCCATCCAGCCAGCTAACAATGGCAGAACAGTATTTGTTAAATGAATTAATTATTTACACAATTTTCCTAGCTACTTTGAGTAAATCATTTGTAACTACATTTTTTTTTTGGCTAGGAGATGCATTCAGTTTTCAGACCATTAGGTGTAAAAAGTTTTCAATCTTTCAATTTAAATTTAAAAAATACTTACAAAACTTACATACAATGCACTAAAAATACAAGAAGTGTTCCATTATTTTTTCTTGACTATTCCAAGCAAACAAGACTTCAAGATTTTACAGCAAAGATACTAAATTGATGAAAGTGAGCTGCAGCTAAATTTCACATAGACTAGGTTATAAAAAAGGCTACTGCAAGCCTGCACAAAAGAAACACATTACAATTTTAAGCATGAAGTGTGGAGAATCTACTCTTTAATTCATTTTTACCCCCTGAATTCAGATAATTGGAAGTCTTTAAAAATTTGCAAGCCAGTATGAATGGCTAAGCAGATTTAAGAACTATGCCTGCAGTTAAATAAATCTGTAATACTCTGACAAAAATTGTTATTCATGCACTAGAAAAGTAATTCTGTGTGGCCTTGCTAAATTTTAATGCATTTGTAACTCATTATTCTTGTAATATATTTAATTTCTTCTTGGTGTACATGAAGGGTTTAAATATCTTGTCTCTACAATGGAAACATGACTATTTATCATAATTATTTGCCAATATTACAACATTGTTTACCCTTCTGTAAGCAATATCTCGAAGTGGGCAAAGAGATCTATTCTTTCTAGTCTAATTCTGCTTATGATGATTGAACACCTACACAGAACTTTAAATACTGCTTGTGAAGTGTTTTGAAAATACAAGTAACCCTCTTCACCGCCTCTTCAGCAGGTAAATATTGCACCTTTTTTTTTTAGAAGTGAGCAAATAATATCATTCAAATCCATTTACAGTAGTGTAAACCAGGAAAGATCTCAAAGGAATTACTTTGGTATATAAACAACAGGTTGGCTCAGCCCAATGGTGTTTGTAATTTTCAGGAATTCTCTCTAATTGTGATTATTTGGGTGTTGGATGCAGTTCACTTAGCTGCAACGAGGAGGACTCACTCTTAAGTTACCACACTGACCTAACTAAAACTTTGAACAGTGTTAAAATGCAACTTACCCAAAAACAAACTCTTCCTTTGGCTTAGGCCTTTTCAGTTTTTTGTTCCCACTTGTCCCACTTTGGGAAAAAGCCCAGTTTTCTTCATTCCAGCATCCTTCATGATCTGAGGAGTTGCCTTTTCCTGAGCTTCTTTTTCCTGGGATGAAGGCAGAAAATTGTTTCTCATCTTTAGAAAAATGTGCCAAAACAAAGTGGGCTCTGAAGGAACTTGTGTACCCATTCAGTACCGCAACTTATGATGCCTGACCTTCTTGAAGGGGTTACAAAACATTTATTTATTTAAACTGGATAATGATGATATCGACAACTATTTCCCCCTCTGCCCCTCAATTTTTATTCTATCGCTAAAGTCAGGATCTCTTGAGGTATGAAGGAGAATAAAGAGATGAGCAGATTTACAGTAATACACTTCCCTAAATTACAAACATCTTTTTCTTTTCTGACTGTTCTAACTACACACATAAATCTACTAATCAGAAAAAATACATTTCAAGACATCTCACTGAAAGCTTCCACAAATTATCTCAAATATCTTTCCACAAGGTAAAGGGTTCTTGCTTACCACCTACAGCAACACTAACAACCAAAGCAAAAGCACAACACATTTGCCTCTTGTAGGACTGAGGACTATGCTCACAACCACCAGGGTTCTTTATATAGAAACAAGCTAATTGTTCAGGGTTACATACAACACAAGTCCTGCATATGTCTATCAGCAGGCTGACAAATTAACCAACAAAGCCTTCGATCAAAAAGCTAAATCTCAGATCATGAAAGACAAAAAGGGAGAGGTTAAGAGCTTGTGAGGTTAAGTATGAACACAGACCACATGACTCAAGAAGACCTGCCTTGGACCACGGAGTCCATCCCCTCCACCTGCCCCCAGCATCTCAGGTGACCAGAAATAGCATTCCCATCACACTGCTCAAACTCCAGCTTAATCACAAACTTTTGCTTTTCCTCCCACTCCAGGCAGGCTTTTGCAGTTCATGTTGTAAATGAAAGACTCAAAGCCACCCACCTCTATCCACATTAGCGCGCAGAGATGTGAGCATGCCCTCTGACACCAGAGTTTTATAAAGAGCACCTTTGCAAGATCTCTCAGACTTCCTGGAGCCACAGGTTTCTATCTTTTTAACACAGTCACTGTCCTCAGTTTTGACCTGTCCTGGTAAGCTCTGGGGTACCACCTCCTCTGTTGGGGTCAGTGGTTCCACTTTAACGTTATCAGAAGCCTCACAGGGTACCTCCTTGCTGGCTGCAATATTAAGGAAGTCAGGAGGCTTTGATTCTTTGGTGGTCTCCGGGGGTTTCTCCTTTGATGTTTTTTTCTCTTTTGATTTCACTTTTTTCTTTGGTGATTTTGTATCCAACACACTTCCCTTCACATTTGAGACAGGGCGAGTTTTTTTGCGGGAAGTTTCCGCGAGTCTCTCAGCACCCCAGTCCCCCTTTGCCACGGCTTCAATTGTATACATTACACTTTCAATGTCCGACTCCGAGGACTGCCTCTTTTTACAAGGTTTCTTGGGGGTGGATTTTTCATTTGCGTGCCGGTCCAACTTATTTTTTTTCTTTTTCTTCTTTATCTTTTCCGGCTTTAGCCCGAGGATATTCATGTCAGCCATTGAAAGCTCTGGAGAACAGCACCTGTGATCCTTTGTGTTATCATTTCTCTCAAAAGGACTGCTCTCCATTGCAAGACTAGTAAAATCTCTGCATTTTGCAGTTTCTGATTCCTCAGCTTTTGTCTCATCCTGGTTTTGCATTTTCTCTATCTCTGATGGTTCTACTTTTCCTTTACAGGAGTCCTTTATTGTTGTTTTCTCCAGTTCTTCTACTTCCATTTCCTCTGGATCTTCCCTTCCCACATCTTCTGGTGCTTCCACTTTTGTTTTCCCAGGTTCTTTCACTTTTACTCCTTCTGAGGCAAGGCACATCTAAAACGAGTTTAAAAATAGTCCCATGAAACAAACATCAACTGTTAACATTACTTACCTATATTAACAGGAGCGTTACACAGGGAATTTCTCTGGCATCTTAGTTCAGGAAGGCGAACTACGCCAAAAGACAATACTGAAAA